TCTCTCTCTCTCTCTCTCTCTCTCTCTCTCTCTCTCTCTCTCTCTCTCTCTGGAAACAAAGAGTCACCCATACTATAAGAATATTATTTCCCCTTTTTACTTGTTTTTGCTTGATTTTAAAAAAATTATTAAGAGGCAGGGACCGTTGATTCTAACGGCCATCTAGGACAAGATGGTGTCAAAATAGCGATAGAAGACCTTTGAAAACTCTCCAAACTATGCACGTTTTACTGAATGGTCTTTTTCTGGTTCGAACCTTGCACACGCACCACTCTCACAAAAGGACTTCAGAGAATCTTTGTATTCTTTCATCGTCCGATGAAGGTCATGGAGCATTGTGTTGTTATACATGTGGCGACCACGAAACAAAGGAATAACGAGCAGTTAACAACAAATGAACACAATTAATTATTTTTAAAAGAGTCCTTTGGTCACATGTCTTCAAGAAGAGCTTTTGTGCATGTATATGAATAATAATGATTGCAGTACTTTATTACATCAAAATTATTAGATTACTCTTCTAAAAACGTTCTTGTTTCAAAACTTTCAATGCTCTTTACTTGCAAAGAGTAAATTCTGCCATTAAACAGGAAAAAAGTCAGTTCTGAATCAAGAACATGTCTTTCTTGTGTCAAAAACTGACTATATTCATTCTATCTCAGAATAAATCCGCTTTGCTAAGGCATGATAACAACATAGTGCGTTCTTCTTTTAACGGAAAGCGTAAAGGGTAACGCGTTATTGAATCAGGACATTGTTATTATAGACTTGAATAAGCATGTTATTATGACCTTGTTTGCTTTGATTTTAAACATATTATATTATTATCATGCATGTGTTTAAATAAACTTGTTATAGAAAAGGCACGAATTAAAGGAAGACGAAGGCTACTGGCAATACATGTTTATTGTTATATTAACTTAATATCTATCCCAGTTACAACACTCACTTTTGACATTTTAATTTAAGTGAAGAAAAAAAATTGACATTATCAAAATTTTGTCTTAAATATTGTTGAATCTCTTTGTTGTAGAGCGCATAGAGTTTGCTGCTTGATTAAGGATATGCGCTACGTGAATGTAAATTTATATTGCATTACAATTAATAAAATTATTATTAAGAACAAAAGAATAGACGTTGTACATTTTGCACTTGGTCATATGTAGAGTTCGGTGGGTGGTCTAGATAAAACAGCATTTCAACAAAGATAGCTGGCTGTTGCCTGTATAGATAAATTATAATTAATGGTAAAGGCGGACGTTAGGACGTGCGGTCTGGACACGCTCACAGTGACAGCAACCACCGTTTAACTCGCCCCCTCCCACCAGCAAAGAGACATAACTGATGATAACGTGGGATCTTATTTGAACTGCACATCGTGTTTGTTTTTCTGTGTATGATCTGTTTCCACATTCATGTTAGTTGTAAACTGGTTAAACACTGA